CTTCAGGGCGTAACAAAGAAAAATTTTAATTTGGTCGAAATTGAATGCTATATAGACTAACGTTTTAGTACATTTGTGCATATTTGGCTAATTTTTCCTGTTGCTGCATATTCTTGTAATTTTAAGCGCATATTTTGAATATTTCGTTACAATAGACATCTATACAACGTTTCATCTTTGAGAGAATATTTTTACTTGTGAGCGTTCATTGATTAGAAAGAGCTTGTCATTGTTTGCGTTCGTTTGTCTTCTTCGTTTCTATAGATGATAAAAGCAGCATGATTGAGCAAATGTGGGATATTTCTTGATATATTTTTAAACCAGGCAGATGAAATTCAATAAGACATTCTAGGTAGATATTTACTTCAATTATTTTTCCCGCGAAGAAAGATTATATTTGCACAAACACATTTTTTTTCATTTGAAGCATGCTTCTTTTGAATTTTATCAAGAAATATACAGGAAATGAAATATTGTTATTTTTTATTGTATATTAAATTACATATTTCTGAATTTTTCGGTCATAAATGCATATTTTTAGAAGCAATTTCAAGACTTTTTAGGGCATAAAAATCCTCTCCCTCGTCATGACTGTTGGCGACTGGAGCCGTTGTGAAGTTACCGCGAAACTATCGTGATAGTGATAATGAACGATTCAATTAATTCAAAAGAAAATACATAAACTATTTTTATAATTTAGTTCATGAGCTCAAGAAAATGATTTTAAAAATTGAAATATTTGGATTTGTGCTGAAAATATAAATAATTTCTTATTCAAAACGCTACGAGTCAAGACATTTTGTTTATTATTTTCCCAGATACTTCACGATAAAAACAGTAAACAACTTTGAACCATGTATTTAAAACATCTGCAGAGTAAATAATTATTATTTGATTTTATTCGTCTTTCATTGAAATATCTTTTGTGCAAAATAACTTGCCGTTAAAAACACACATATTTTTGAAAACCCATGAAAATTCGAAAATCTCAGACGCCTCTCATGAGTTCATTCACAAATATAATATGCACAATTTTCTCAACCTGCTTTCTAAAACGCGCCTCTGGGTCTAATACCGTCGTTGAATTGAGTCTAGTAACACAAGACCACAGAAATCTCCACAAGACACAAATCAATATTACAATATGCCTAAATATTACATTAATTATAAAAGATGGCATCTATAAATCATAAATAAATAAATTATATATAAAGCATAAATAAATATCCATAAGATGTTTCAATTATTCCTTTGTAACAACGCACTTTCCCTCTTCAAGTTTCCGCGCGAGAACCTTGCGAAAATAAAATACTTATATTATTCCACTAATTTTACTAACAAAATCAACTTCTCTTTACTCAATCAAACGTTCATTTTTACTAAGGTAAATAACAGTACGCTCCCATGTTATTCCAGAATTGAATATATTTTCCTGGAATAAAGGCATGGCTTCCGGCGCTGCACTTGGCCGAAGGCGACAAGTGTCGTGCGAGTAGGAGGAAGCCACCTCGCCCGCGTGGGCGCCATCGTGGAACTCCGCTTGGAATGGCCTTCGTCGCGTCGTACTTCTGGCGAGCTGCGCTTCTTGGAACGGTTAACCACGTCGCGACCAATGGCGGGCGCATTCGTCAACCAAAGGCTGGAGGACGTAATTGTTTTATTAATTAAATATTCGGTAATTCTGAAAATAATAATAGCACAAATAATTCGAATAGATAGTGGGGCTAATATATCATTCTAATGGTCACACGGTTCGCGCACCGCATTTCCGTTAGCATATATTTTGGTTGACCGAATTTCTCTATTCGTGATGTTCAATTCATCACCATGTTGTGTCAACACCTGAAGCTCGGATGTTATTCAGAAAATCCAGTTCGATGCCGTGCTCACCGAAAGAAAGCGTGCTGACCTTGCGTGTTTTCTGTTTGTTATAGTACATCCAGAAAGCAGACGCACGCACAATAAATTTTTTGTAAAACGGAAGTAGTATACATTTTGAAGTATTGTTGCTTACATATTTTCGTCGTTATTGATTGATTAATTAATTAATTGATTTTTTCCGGGTGCATCAACGGCTATGATCATTAATCCCGTAAGTGCCGTGCAGGTTTTATCCCGGAAGATTGCGGTGATCTCCCCCCACTGGATGTCGAGACCATGTACGGATTTCGACCACATTTCGGCGCTACACGATCACGTTGCGGGGTTTTCCCCAACCAGGTATCTCTCATCAGCGGGGTTCCTTCTCAACCGGGGCCCGCTCTAAGCTCCAGACTGCTCTCCTGACATGTGTGGTTGAACAGAGCATGTGAGAAAGGGGTGAGGATAGAATATGGAAAAGGAAGGAAAGATCGCGCGCGGTCCGTAGCCCGTTTGTTAGAGTACTGCTCCGGCATTCACCTGGTGCTGATTGGAGAAACCACAGAAAACTACCGATCAAAGCAGAGGGCCGCTAGAATTCTCCTCCAGACAGCGGCTGAACTCGACAAGGCTATGTAGCTTGAGTCGAAAGTCCTGCCACCGTCGGAACTCGAACCCTGGAACCTTCCGGTCCGAGACACAGCAGTGTCATCAATAATGCCATAAACCACGTAATCCGGACTCTTGGTTACGAATCATATCGTTTTAGACCAACTTATTAGTGCGTCGCGACGGTGGGAAATCTGACGATGTGCTTGCCACGATTTTTTTTTTAATTTATCCAACTGCACAACCCATTAAGGGCAAGGGCCTCATGCTCGCGCAGGGTATTATTAATTCTTCTTTTAATGAACTGATAGGATGACGATGAAGGGTGAAGGGACGATACCAAATACATCCATGTACGAGGCGGGATTCCAACCCGCGATCCTTCAATCTGACATCGCCTCGACACTACTGCCTTAGCGATCTCAGCTATCCGCATTGCCATGCCAGCGATTATACGTTAAAAATATTCCTGAATACCACTCGGGAATGTATGGGGAAATTAAAACAGACACCGTAAGAACCAACACCAACAGAGTTCTAGTTGGCTATAATGATAGCAAGGAATATAGAAATTCGGGCTTAAGTACCGGCTTAAGTCAAATCGAAGGTCAAAAGTAGCTCGGACAATGCCTCTGGAAGAGGCAACATTCAAGAGTAATGGAGCTTAACCCCCCCCCCAAATTCAATGATACATATTAAAAATACAATTTTCACTAATTTTCTATACGAATGAAAGTCAATCAATACAACAGTTGCTTGCGGTATAGATATTAAGAACTAATAAAAGTCAACAAATAAAAATAAATTTTATATTCAGCGTCAACGTAAATTCTTTATAAATAAAACATAAAACATCAAGGCGGCTGTACATTGTACCTGTAGATACCCCCTCCCCCTGAGAAAAAAGCCCTGAGGGCGCCTCTAGAGATAATCACTCCGGGAACAAGTGACTCGAGAATATTTAATTAAAGGAAACGTGGTTTTTTATTTAAGACACAAATCTTCTTTGAGGCGATTAAAACGATAAATTTCGCAGAACTAGTATACAATTCTGTGAATGACATATTCGTGATGTAATAATTGAAAAACGAACTGAAGTACAGGAGGGAAGAATATTCCCAAAATGCGTCTTCTCCTCAGAAGAAACTGACAATCTCAAACATAATGCTACGTTCACAAGAATTGCACAAATACATAACAGAAAAAAATCAGGAATGTTTATATTATATTAGTATAATCCTAATATTTCTTCCAATATTTATATTCTCTAGCTGTCCGGACTCGAACTCTAGGACCTCTCGGTCAAAGACATCTGACAAGATCAAAAGGCTAAACTGAAGAAAATTAACAAGAAATGACGAATAAAAAATGTGCTCATAAGCAGTGAGGAAGAATCTGCTTCATCAATTGCAACACATTTTCGAATCCTTTACTTCACCCTTCATAGGAAAGTTGGTAGAATTGACTTTGGGAGATTTTGGACGAATCTAATTTGAAACTGGAAAAGTTTGTTATTATTAGCATTCCATGACGTACCCTCATGGTGAGCATTCTCCTGGGCGATTACCTTATTATTAGACAAACTACAAATCATTCGTTCGTGCTGTTTTGGCAATCCCTCCCCTTTTAGAGACACACAAAGCACAGTTGCCCCAAGGTCGGCGCCCTCGCCGAGAACCTGATTTAAAAGGATACTAGCTCCAAAGAGGGAAGGCAGACAAAACCGGTTGACCATTGGCGGACTTGTGAGAAGAATGAAGTTATTTAACAATTTATTCACTATAAAACAAATTGCGCATTTTAATGTTACGGAAGAAATTAACATTTCTGAGAAATTTTATACACAGCTGGTTTGTATTACTTGTTTTCCAGTCAGATTTCTAACTTTACCATTGACGGACGAAGTATTTTCCCAGGAAACAAAACGGCAAAGGTGGATCAGGGCAACAACTGCTGTCGCTGCAGTGCCTGTGACCGGCAGGTCCAAGGGTTCATTTCCTGACAGTGGCAGAATTTTCCACACTAGCTACAAAGCAAGGTCGAATTCAGCCGCTGTTAGGAGAAGAATTCTAGCGGCTGTCTGTTCTCATCGGTAGTTTTCCGTGGTTTCTCCGATCGACACCAGGCAACTGCTGGAGCAGTACCCTAACAAACAGGCTACGGACCGTGGCAATCCTTCCTTCTTCTCCCTTGTCCTTTCTTCCCCTTACATTCACATGCACTACACTACTATCCTTGATGGAAGACCAATCGGGACCTTACAGGTAGTCTCTGCCGAGGAAGTGACATGCTGGTGGGAGATACCTGGTTGCAGAAAATCTCCGACCAGCCGAGTAAGAAAACAGCAGACGGAGGTCGGTGCCGGATCTTGTTACCCACGGGGGAATATCACCCCCACCTCAAGCGACAAAAACATACTCTACACTTACGGGAGCTTATATGTTGGCTCGCGCGAAATCACTAATAAATCAATCAATAAACCCATAAAAAACTGCAATCGCTTTCAGTGGGAAGCAGCTTGTACTCTTCACATGAACGCCGATAGCGACTGGTTAAGGTTCGGGATGGAGCCAAACGCACCATTCCGAGAGGGACTGGCTCTCCGAAGCGGAATTTCGGCGACGGGCCCGCGCCGGAGCCGAAGGGCGAGCGAGAGAGTGGCTTCGAGCCTCAAGGCCGGCGGTTTCTAAATATGAAAAATGATAAAATCATCACATCAAAAAGTTTTACGCAACCACCAATCAGCAATTGCCAATGCCAGCGAGAGCAACGCAATTGGTGAGAACCGCGAAACGACAAAAAACTGCGCCATATTTGCGTCCGAACGGAGGGTTAGTTTAGGTTAGTTTCCTCGGAAGAGAAAACGAGCATCGAAATGTTGACGAAATGTGTTGGCTGTGAGTGGTAGAGGGAAGTGTGCTTTCAGATGAATATCAGAAGTACCTCTCACTAGAGTAACGTCAACCACCCTTTGTACTGTAATAGTAATGCAAGACGAGAGGGCGAATCAATAACGTTACAAAATACACAATATTGCCCACAGGGAGAGAGCGAAACAGTTTTAAGAAAAATATGACTGTGCACAACACACTTGTTTTATTCATTTTTTATTAAACATTTTATGTACGTTTTCTTAAAACTCATTTTATTAAAAAAAACTATGTACAATAGGTATTTCGAAGTTTTACGAGAAAGTTATGCTATACTTCAGAATAAATGTTACAAGTTCTAGGAAATGAAGAGGAATCGAATATGGATGCTTTATGAAAATGAACGTGTTGTGAGAATTCTCATAAAACAAAGTTACACATTTGCAATTTTGTATATAGTGCCCCTGATGGTAGGCAACTTATCCTGCATTGATGCTTGGCAGTTACACGTTCTTTGGTAGTCAAATAGATTTTGTTGAAGTCAAATATGATGCGATGATATGAAGTCTTGACTCTATGTCCCTGTACAAAAACAAGTCTACTCCTTTAATGACTATTACAGTGCTGGTAATGCAGAAACTACACAAAGCAATCACGTGATTACGATATAAGAAACTTGTTCCAAACTGTGGCAGCAGAATGTGCATAGTAGGCTACATTACATTGTATATAATATAATATTATTATTATTATTATTATTTATTTTATTTATTATTATTATTATTATTTATTATTATTATTATTATTATTATTATTATTATACGTATGAGTAGTCGAACAAATCTAAACAAATGAAGATGAAGAGTGTGGCATTTTAGCGCTAGCAGCACATTCTGCGTCACAGTTCGGAACTTCTTCACTTACTGTTAGAACGAAAAATGTGAACAGTAGTGTTACACCTGCGCGACACAGATCACGTAGTATATGCCTCAAAGTTTTACGCTCCGCTCTGCAAATCTCAACAACTAATACAGTTGTACCCGTAAAAATGAGGCTTTCCAACCCTCAAAAGCGCAAAGAATCCGCGATCACGGCTCGTATCCTTTCCATTCTAATGCTCCAGACGCTTCAAAAAAGTGGAACTTTTGCAATTTATGAAAATTCAGAGAATTCAACGAAATTGGACCTGCGTCATTTTTACAAATGTACATCACTCATTCCAAAAAAAGAAATAATCCAAAAACATACAGCCATTTTTTTAAAAAAAAGTCCTTGAAAATATAAAAAAAATCTCCTTTTCAAATTCAAGAAGTCGCGACATCAACCAAATCGATCAGGGTTTATACATTTCGGCGAAAATTCTACGTTCAGTTCACCCGAGAGCGTTGTTAGACTGACGAACAAACGGACGAATACACAGACGGACAAACAGACGTTTTGCTATGAAACATTTTTTTCGGTATTAAGATCCCTGCACAACGTGTTAAATAGAAACAAGATGTAAGGGAAACAATACTTTGCCAAAATTCGCAGATTTTTGCTGCAGCATTACTTAACATTCTCTATATTACGTAGGTAATAAAGTAACTAGAGAGGAAAGGAAGAAGAGAGAGGGAGGGAGACAGAGGGAGAGAGATGGAGGGAGAGATAATACTACACCAAACAATACTATTCAAGATTTTAATATAATATGAAATATTGCAATCATTTTGTTAAAAAATATTTGTTGGATTTTTATTAGATTTGTAATTTAATAAAAATATAATATATGAGAACTTCTCATAAATGTATTTCTTTTAATACTCTCAAAATTGAAATATTTATTATTAAGCTTATTAGGTGAAAATGTTTAGAATAGATACAAGGATGTTTAATTAGTTTGTGAAGATCCGTATACCAAAAAATAACAATAAGTGTCACACTGTATTCATTTTGTTAGTTTGTTTATGTGGGGTGTAAGTATTAATTATGTTTATTTCAAATATTTAGGGCATTCCAGTTTCTTCATTTGGTGACACTGACTTTCATTCGTGAGAGAGGTAAGTGATACATTGCCTACCAGCTAAAGTCCATTCTTCATATTAATAAAAAATCAGAAATACCTTACTAATAAATAATTTTTAAAAATTATGGTATTATGGTACAGTTACATTTAGAGGTAGAAATAATGTGATTATTCCACAATAATGGTATGATTTGACAGTACTGATCTGAGAGAATTTTCTACTTCCTGTTTGTATATGTTTTGTTTGTTTTTTTTCCTTTCTTTTATTTCTTGATGTTTCTCTAGGAGCTGCATAAAACAATTTGTGCTGTCTCTTGAGTAAGGGCAGAAATTAATCGGTAGATGTAAGCAATGCTTAAGTTATAAAATTTTAGTTTTCGGAAAACACTTCAAATTAATTAACAATTTAATAGAAATAGTAAAAAATGTATGTTGTTATTGGATTCCGAGGTTCCCAACATACCAGAATGTCGTTTCATTACGTTCCACAAGAAATCAAGCCCTGAATATAAAAGGAACATATAAACTCTTCCAAACCCTGTCAAACAATGCATTGGGAAATATTATTCCAGAGAATCATAAAGGGTTAAATAGTTTCTTCGAAACAGATTTTCTTTGTATTGTACCTTTGCTCTTCTTTAAAACACTCTTTGATTTACATAGTTCATATAATATTTCTATTCAAATTATACAAATTTAAAATGTTTATTTCATGCAGTTTGGTTGTGATTGTTGGCCACAGTAGTATATAAATTTCTCATTGGTAGTGAGTTTGACCAAATTCATATAATTTTGTATTTCTTTTCAATTGAAATTTATTGTTATTTTCTTGCCTTTTTGTTTCACATAATTTACATCATTTATTCAATGTATTAATAGGATATAGTAACATTAGTTAAGGATACAATTACTAATCTATTTCTTATATTGAGTTATTTTAAAACAAGAAATGGCTAGTCCCAAATGGCTGTAAATAACACAAGAATTCAGTTTGCAGCAAAAAAGCATTGTAACTTTTTATTGCAGATTTTGGCAAGAAGGTTGAAGGGACTGCCGTCACCCTCACAGTGCAATATCAGAGATTGCAGGTAAGTGAATATTTTTTATGTTTCCTGGTCTAATTTTTTAACTGTTTATACGACAGCTTTTCAGAATTTGAGATCCAAGATTGCTAATGATTACAGTATCAGTGGTAATGAATATAATTATGTTTTCTACAACTGTTGTGTGTTTATAGGTGAATATGAACTCATTTGAAAGAATCATAAGCAGACACAAGAACCGCTCAGCATTGTTAAAAAGAAAACAAAAGAAAGTTATGTGTCACATTCACAAAGGATATTATTGCAAACAAAGTCAATGGCAGTTTAAGACAAGGTCATCCGTAGAAATTTTGAATTATTTGTTTTTGTAATATTTTATGAAGTCAGAGAATGTTATCTATAATTTAAGATACGACTACTATTATTTAGCAAATAATTATTTCATAACGTTATTTATGGTTTCCGGTAAACACTGAATTTTATTGTCATATTGCAAGAAGTAAAAAATAGTGTGTATATTTTATTGTTAAATCAATTATTATTTGTAACTGATGTAACTCGCCAATACCCCTGGGATACACTGAATACAAAATATTCCCATTCACACTCATATTTCTTAGTTTTCACAATTGTACTTAATGTACTTTGCAAAATTCAGTTCCTTCTTACATAATACCTGAATCTCATAATTAATGTACGTTAAATGTCTCTAGAGCAATTAATTCAATTTTTGGTCTTGGAATACTCAATTTTCCTCTTGGAATGTCAGATTCATTAGGGATTACTCACTGACCCTTATATTAACACTAAAAAACTGTCTTATTACCTCTAATCATTTGGCATTTCTACTGCACAGGGGTGTTGAACTGGTTAAATATTGGTTAAATATGGTTAAATATGTTAACTGTACTGCTTGTTTGCATGTTAGGACTTACTTGGTAAATATGTCTATGGAAATGAATTGAAATGTAATCTTCAAAGTTATACTTGGTTAAAAAGTCAATGTACATGTTTGCAAGATTTGTGAGTTTCCTCTAAATTTGCATCTACCAAGAATTGCCAATTCTGATGTTAAAACATAAACCAGATATATTAAATGTGCCTATAATGAAGATATTTCATCATTTATACTGATTCAATAGTGTTTTTTAAAATTATAGTCATTCTAATTACTGTAGGTCTCCCTGTAACAAATCCTGTACAGCATTGATGATAGAAGAAATAAGTAGTAAAGGAAGTATGTAAGTCAGGTAACTTATTAATACTACTAATTATGAACTTCTTAATTGAATTCTGTATAATACTCATTTTCTTAAAATTCTTCCACCAGCAGAAATTCATTTTAAAAGTTTATTAACAATAATAGATGTGCATAAATGAAATGTACCATCTGTAAACAAATAAATTGTAATATTACTCAATTATTTAGCAATTTTTAATATTACAATGTTCCATAACATATAAATTATTAAATGCAAAAATGTGAATGATGGTAAAGGAAGTAGTACTAATATCTCCCTTCCTCCCTCCCTCTCACCCTTCCCTCTGTATCCCTCTCTCTCTCTGTCAGTGAATACCATCATCAGTGAATAAGAGAATTTTTACCTAACATATGACAGAAATTCTCATATTCACAATAGCTGTCAAATTAAATTCCTTTGAGACCTGGGAAAGAACAGATTGCTTTAAGGAAAAAGTCTGTATCTTCAATCTTGCAGTTGTAAGAAAAAGCCGAAAAAATTAAACGTTTTCAATTGTTGGGAATCTCAAAGATTTCTAGGAAGACAGGACCTCTGCCATTTTTAACCGTCCGTTACGCTATGTGAGAAAAATTTTATTAAAAAATGTGGAGACATTTTTGAGAGAATGTTTCGGCATAAAGTGAAGTACTTCCAAAAATCAAAACATCCGTTTCAAATTGACAGGGTGTCGAGTTCGTGTAGATCAATTGGGGAATAATAATTATTGAGAAAATCGTTTGAACAGTGTAGGCGCTGGCGTAGGGCAGAGATATATTTTGTCGTCATCTATTTTTCGGAAACAAGAACTCACAAATTTTGGATTCTGACTACACATCGTGATAGATGATAGATAAAATTTACTGCATAGCAAGAAGATTTATCCACTTTTTCGATACCAGAGCTACAAAATTCGAGTTTTTCTGTTGAAAAATCGCTGCTTTCTGTCGTAGTATTAGAATACTTTATCTTTATTACGTAAGTACAAAGTAAGGCAAGAATGTAAAAATGAAGATTTCCCATCGAATTACGAGATTGAAGACAGATTATTCCTTTAAATGGTTTTAATTAAGTCGTTGGCACGAACTACCCAGAATGTCTCTAATAAATTTTACAAACTCTAGGGCACGTAGGGGAGTCGAAGTTGTCCATATGTTCTTAGTTCCTGATCTGAAGGCAACCCAATTATTAATTATAATTGTTAATGCAATTGATAAATTCTCTGGGCTTCCCCAAATTTTGTTCCCGGTGAACAGATCGTTTATTGACATTAAAAAATAATAGAAGAAGCAAATGAGAGCTCAGGGCTTGAAATTCCGATAGCTTTTTTTACACAATTTGTCACGATATTCACTCTGTATACAAGAAAAAAGTATTCTGAACAAGCCTTCTGCTAATTCATTATTAAGGAAATATTATTCCCTCCCTTAAGGAAATATAATTTTAATTTTGAACATTAGGCTATATTTACTTCTTATCCTTCTCTACGTTGAGTTCATGATCGATAGATTGAGCAATATAATTAGTTTTCTCTCCTTCATAATGTCGGTGTTTTAACTTCTCTACCTCTTTTTTATAAATTCTTTTGGAAACAATGATGTTGGTTGTGACGAACTCAACCTCATTATTTACGAACTAAACGCATTACAATTACCTTCCAACAATAATGCATTGGAATTCAAAATCAACTAACTCAACAGAAATCTCTTTATAATAAAAACATTCATTTTGAGTACATTACCGGAATTTAAAATTCGACGATCTTCAGAATGACAAACTGACATCCATTTAATAAAACATTAACTAATCATTAATTAAAAAGAAAGAATAATGGTTATTAATGAACACTATTTCATTATTCTACATTAACTTCAAACTGTATTACAAGAGTGTCATATTGTAAACAAATTCATATCGATGCGTTGATGTTTGTTTAGGTTTTCTTGTATTTAGTAACCCCGAGTAACCAATGTCGTTTTGATACGGAATATTGTCATTGTTTCAATTCGCGATTGTTTCGACTCTCACGGAAGCTTCTCGTGCTGGCATTTTGTGTGCAAGGCTGTGACGACTTGTGTCAAAAACAATTTTATTACTTCTGTCTGCTAAGAAAAATCTTGATTAGAAATGGCGTGGCTCCCATTGGAATCAAATCCAGATGTCATGAACAAGTATTTGTATAATTTGGGAGTACCGGACAAATATCAAATGGTCGACGTTTACGGATTGGATAACGAATTACTGGGGGCTATTCCTCGTCCGGTTCTCGCTGTGATGTTACTTTTTCCAAGCAGGAAGACTCAAGATCAGCCTGAGATAGATGAAGCCGGCGACAAAGAGGTATCAGAATCTCTTTTCTATATCAAACAAATTGTTAATAATGCCTGTGGAACAATTGCACTACTCCACAGTGTTGCAAATAATTTAGATAAAATTCAATTAGAGGAAGGGCATCTTAAAACATTTATTGAGAAAGCCAAACCTTTGAATCCCATGGAAAGAGGTGAATTATTAGGAAAGGCAGAGGGAATCATAAATATTCACAAAGAAGTTGCAATGGAAGGTCAAACAGAAGCACCTGAACCCACTGAACCAGTTCACTATCATTTTGTGGCATTTGTACAACAAGGGGGATTTATCTATGAGCTTGATGGAAGAAAACCATCTCCAATAAATCATGGCTGCACTTCAGACGATACGTTTCTTGAGGACGCTGCTCGTGTTTGCAAACAATACATGGATCGAGATCCTGATGAACTTCATTTCACCGTCGTGGCTCTAACGGCTACTTAATTCTTTAATAGCACATTCAATTGAAAATCTTTGAAACTTGTTACATAATTTTAATACGCTATTGTTACTTATTTTACATTATATATGTTCAAATAAATAAAGAAAACAATGGCAAATATATACTTGATTTAGAAATTTGGAGAGTAATCAAAATCGAATTTTAATGTTAAGTTTTTTGCCAAATTCAACAATGTATTACACCATTGTATCGTTGTTGACCGCTATAAAATAAATTATTATTGGTCATTATTCATTTATGTATTTCATCTTTTCCACATTTCAATCACTCAAACTTAACTGTTTCGAAAATAATTCGCTACATGTGATAAGGTAATGCATTAATCTAAGATTCAAATGTTCAAATTCTACAACAATTTCACAAAATCTGCATTATTTAAGAAAAATACTTTTTGACATAAATAGTGAACAAAACTAAAGACTGGCAATGTAATAATTTCATTCCATTCGCTCGTCAGAATATGCATGTTAAATATACCAACAAAAAATAATGACGTAAATCATGTTAATATAAAAAACAATGGTACATTTTATATCTCCTAGAAAATTCCCAAAGGTCATGGATTTTTCTTACGTTTGAAATTAATTTTAGTACCGTTTACTCTGGTAACACTCAGAGACGTTGGTTTCCAAAGTGTATAATTTTATACCATTATTATATTTAAATTTTAAAAAAATATACATGCGTAAAACGCATTAGTATTTTGGTGTAGATACACAATGGCAAATAGCAAGTTCCCTATCCATCCGACATGCGCGGAGTTGGTGAACGCTCTGCCTTTAGTCTTCACATCAAGTTCACACCAATGGATTTTTATGCATTGGGTTTCATATTCATTGCATTTTTATTCAAATCAATTGAATTCTTAACTAATATCAAATTTTGAAACAAGCGCGTTGTGGGTAAAACGGAACAATGTAATTTTACGAACGAATAAAATTTGGAGCCAGTTTTCGAAGGAAATTTTGAAAATTCGAGGTAAAAATGGAGTAAATATATAGCAACTACAGACGCAGGAGAAAAACATCCGTGTAGGTACTTGCAAAAGATAAACATACTGCACCATAATGTTTAATCCCTTTCAAATAAAACTGAGTTTATCAAAGCAGCTCTACAGAGTGATTTAAATCAAGTGGATGTTCTGTGCTTTACAGAACATTGGTTACTTCATAATGAACTTAGCATTTTCCAAATTCCAAACTTTTACCTCGCAGGCTAGTATTGTAGAGCAAAGAAATCGCAAAAAGGTCCTCCATATATGGGTTCTTTCATTTACGTTAGAAATAATATCGATTTTATCACCTTGACGGAATTAAATGTGTATTCCGTTGAAAATATTTTGAAAGATCTGAAGTATGTCTTCCTACACTAAAAAATATATTTCTTTGCATCTACAGACCTCCAACAAAGAGAGCAGTAGATTATGTTGTTCTTAAAAAAAATTGGATATAACACTAAACAAAGTCAGCATTTGCTCTTTTGAATCCATTGTTGTATGCAGATTTTAACATTGATTTTCTGGTCGAATCTTGCGAGAAAGAGCAGTTTAACTTTATTCCTTCAGTTTAGATATTACAATAAGTATACCTACACGGATCACAGAAGGCTATCGATCAAATAATAATTAAGAATACCACTACTGGATATGAAATTGAAACAAAAGATTTAGGATAAAGTGATCCCGATGCACAAATTCTTACCATTATAAAATATGCGAACACTGACACATTAAATAATACACGCATGAATAGATTGTTCACTAAAAGTAAAATAAAATTATTCATCAATTACTTGCTACAAGAGTCATGAGACGCGGTTTACAATAATAAAAACGATAAATTTAATTTTTTTTAATGCTTTTTTTTTCTTCTTATTTTAACACTGGTTTTCATCTTCAAAAAAGACTTTTTTTACGGAAAAGCAATTCTTGCATAACACAAGGGATTAGGACATCATGTAAAAACAAATGAATTCTTTCTTTCATTTCTAAGTATCAAAATGTATCTCAATATTTCCTCATATACTTTAAAAAATACAAATTATTGTTAAGAAGTCATAATGCAGGCTAAAATCATGAAACATGATCAGGATATTTTGAACTCATATAATTAAACAAAAGCAATGTGGAATGTAGTAAAAAATTCGACCAAATCAACTAGAAACCTTATAGAGAATGTTTTAAAATAAAACGATAGAAATGTAAACGATCCGGCAACAGTGGCTAGTCTCTTTATCCAATACTGTTCGAAAATTGCTGCCGATCTCACTAAAGGTCTTCAGCCACAAAATTCAACATCAGACGTTTCCCCAAAACTTTTAGTCACGATGTTCGTTTCCGAAACTTCTTCCAATGAAATTCTCAGTACAATCGGTAGACAAAAAAAGTATTCGGCCAGTTTAGATGAATTTTCGGATTGTTTGTTAAAGACTTGTGTGCCCACCATTATACACTCGTTAACTCACATTTAATGTATCCTTTTGCACAGGAATTTTGCTAGATATTTTTAAAACTGCAAAGATTAATTTGCTTTAAAAAAAAAAAAATGAAATTCAAAATTATCGGCCAATTTCCCATTTGTCATTTTTTTCAAAAACATTAGAGTCTCTTTTACGTACGAATGGAAACATTTAGTAAACATGACGCGTTTTCAGATTGCCAACGTGGGTCAATCATAATCTACAGAAACAGACACAT